TTTCAGCAGTATAATATTCATAGAAGGAGAACATGAGTGCCTTTTTGTTATTGAATCTTATGCTAACTCACTCATCTAAGCTTACTTCTGTTGTTTATAGAATACCATTAATGACTTGAGAAAAAAGGAAACAATGTATTTCTTGTTATGTACTTTCATATCTTTTTGGTGTTTAATTCTTATTAGCTTTTCTATGTTTGATACTGCAAGTGAGTGTTTAATTTATATCTTATTCTGATGCCTTCAGATTGGGAGATCTTTCGTTGTCTCTAAGTTGAAGGATTATCCGAAGTTTAGGTCAGTTGCAATTGCAATTCAGAAGTCTGGCTTCAAGGTTTGTGTACTTCTTAATTGATCCTCAAAACTCCAGTGATTTTGTTTCAACATATATTTGCAGGTTCCATGATTTTCCTTTTCTTTGCTATCCATTTAATTCTAATTATGTCCATATAATTATTTTGTCGCACAGATTGTTCTGCTGCTACGACTTGTTCCTTTACTGCCCTTTAACATACTGAATTACCTGCTTTCTGTCACTCCTGTTCCGATAGGGGAATACATGCTGGCTTCCTGGATAGGAATGATGGTATGTTCACTCATCCAGCAGTACTCTCTGAATTTATCTTAATGCCATAGGGTGATGCAAAAGTTTTGCTTATGAAATGTCATGTATTTAAAATGCTGCAATGATACAAAAGTTTTGCGTATTTAAAATTCTGCAGTGATACAAAAGTTTTGCTATCAAATACCAAATATGTATTAAAAAAATGTTTATTTTCTTGTGAATAAATTGAAAGATGGCGTGGGTGCTTGATGGGCCTGTTGAGCCATGTTGAAGTGATGTGGTCTCCATTTTGATTGCCTCCCATTTGGTATAAATTCTGAAGCATGTTTTGCAACGTTTTTTCCTGACATGTGCACTGAAAGATTGTTTGGTGTGAAGATTACTGACCAAAGGGAGGGAGTCCCAACCCATAGAAGAACTGACTTATTACTGTGGGTGGTACTTGATGACTTGTTTCAACAATTGTTATGCTTAGTGCTTTTATTAAGCTAGAGCGATGTGAAGTTATGGACCAAACATTTCAATTACTGGCTAGTTTGTCTCCTTGTAAATCCAGCAAACAAAGAAAAATTGGTTTAAAAAAATGTGAAAATCTAATGTCTTTCTTTAGTTGTCAATTCTTCCCTGAAATGTCATTAATTACTTATTGTGTTAGCTCACGAGATGTTCATGAAAGAATTTAATTGAGAAGGTAGTACTGGTTAGAGTCATGCCACTGTACCTAACTTGGTATTTCTTACAGCCAATAACACTTGCTTTTGTATACATTGGAACAACTCTCAAGGATCTTTCTGATGTGATGCATGGGTGGAGTGAGTTTTCAACTAATCGTTGGGTAAGGGCCCTATTTTTTTCATACATGCTGGAGTTTCATATCTGCTCTTAACTTTTTGAGTCATTTTCTGAGTCATCTTTTTCATCTGTAGTCTGATATATTTGTGGCTCTTTTACTGTGGATGTAGGTGTTTATCATATTGGGCCTTCTTGTATCTGGTAAGTTTCAATGACATGCCAACATGCATCTATCCTCCTCTCCTCCTTCTCCTTCTTCTTTGAGGTTTGAATGGTCATAAAAAAATTAATGCCCTGTCTATTGAAAACATTTTCTTCTTCTTCCGAGTTCCCATGGGAAGAGGTTTTAATGGTATTAAAAAAAATTAATGCCCATTCTAGTGAAAACATCACCATTAATTGTTAAGTGCCAATTATAATTACTCAGGATTCAGTTATCAATTTTGATTATGTAGCCATTGTGTTCAAGATTTGAGAACAATGGGGAGATAATGGTACTCAAAGGAGTTGGTGATTTTCAATATAAATGGAAGGAGCTAAATAGAAGTGGACACAGTGAAAGTTGTTCCTGTGTTTGTTGGGGCTTGTTTACTGAAAATTACACTTTGTGAAGTGCCGGTTATAATAACTACATGGGATTTGTTTAACAAGTTGGATCCTACGGCCATGTGGCTTGAGACTTTGACCTGTGGCTTGAGACTTTGACCTTTGAGGACAATGAGGAAACTTATGGTAGTATAAAGTAGTTAGCAATTGTTGATGCATATCAAGAAGTCAAATGAACTTAACGTTGTGTTGTGCGGCTGTCTCCTTGTCTGCATCTAATCATTAAGTGATACTTGTTGAGTGGGAATAACGTAGTGATTTGATGACCTGATAAAGAAAATGTTGTGAAACAAAAGGAGAAAAAAAGTAACCAATGCGCAAGAATTTTTATATATGAAACTCTACTTCAAAATTATCTTTCTGACGCATGCTAGTAAAACTTGAACTGACCAGTGATTTTCTTTCAACCGTCGAAAAGTGGTCCTTAAATTTATGAATGTTAAGATAGTTGCGTTGAGAGAATTTGAATGCAGCAGCAACAACAAAGTCTTAATCCCAAAATAGATTGAGAGAAATTGAATAGGCATTGTGGCTGTATATCATGGATTGCTTCAATTTGAAATCTAATGACAACCTTTGTTTGTCCTGTTATCTTGTCTGAACTCTGACTGTATTTACATTTTTATTTATTTATTTATTGCAGTGGTTCTAATCTTTTTTGTTCCTAAAGTCGCCAAGTCTGCGTTGGATAAAGCTTTGGCCGAAAATGAAGATCTAGATTTCATATTGGCCCCGTCACAATTAACTATTGTGGCGGATATTCCTGTTAATCTGAACCAGCCTCTTATTATCAAGATAAACCCATCTGAAGACAAGCATGAAAAATGAAATTCATAATTCGTGTAAATTCTTTTCCGACCTTTTTGATGGGCAATGTTCTTATTTAATATTTCACCATTAAGTGCCTGTCATTTGTTATTCGCATTTCTGTACAGTCCTTTCGTTTACAAAAAGAAAAAGAAAAAAAGGTTAAAAATAAACAAATTTGTAGGTATGGATTGAAGTGGCTGATCGGCATATAAAATAGTGTTAAATGAGCTTTGTCTTCTCCAATGGGATAAAAAATCACCGAAGAATGAAAGAAATCATTGTTTCTAATGCGTTTTGCTGCATCTTTGTAATCGATAGGTTGTCTTTGAAGTATCTGTATTTTCCCTTCTGCTTGCGTGAGTGGCGGTTTTTTCAGTATCCAGTCTCCTATTAGGTGTTTTTATTTTTTTGGTTTTGGCATCTTCATGATGTTTTTTCAATTCAAATACACTTTAAAAAGAATCCGAACTACCATGCCAACTGATGTTAAATTCAAGGGTCTTTTTGGATGGAAAAGTTTACCAGCATCACCATTTAGAGGAAGGAATTTTTTTTTTTTTTTTATCAAAAGTGACAAATGCTGGAGAACCAGCAAGAACAAAATATACAAGCAAATACACGAGGGAACAGGCTCCCTTTGAAACTTAAAAAAGGGGAACAAACTCCCAAGAAAAAGGCATGCAAGCCGCAGGGAACAAACCGATTTGGTTAGCCTAGAAACCTAGTCAGAGAGAAGGTGCCGGGCCTAACCAAAGAGCCAAAAGAGGGCCATGAACAAGAAAACTGAAGCCGCTACCGTGCAGAAACGCACAAGAACGCAGCTGATCAACAAGAGGAAAACAGACGACACTGAAAGCCGAATGAGCCACCAAAAGACCAACAGCCGATAAGCAACAGAGGAGAATAGAACCCATAATTCCAAATTAGCAGGAGAAGAAGATTGCCAAAGAACTGGCACTGCAAAGAAGACAAAGCCTCTGATGTGACCAAGCACTAACAAAGCAAATTGATTGATAGAAGGATAGAAGATTCCTGGTGCTTAAATGATGCGGTTGTTGGATACGATCCGTATTGTGGGTCAAGATAAAATCAAGTACTCCCTCGAAGTTGTGGCCTTTGGTGAACACTAAACACCATTGTTGACAGATGATAGGAAGTACTGTTTGATAGCATAGTTGGAGGTGGTGTTATCAGTTTAGGGAGCAATTTGTATGATCCCGACCTGCATGCTATTGAACAACTTACTACTGAGAAGCCATGTTCCCCATATTGTATGTTGAGATCCAAAATCAAAGGTAACACTTCCACATATTAAAATGTTCTCATGGGGTTAGAAAAGTTTGTTCTAGACTTGAAAAGAAGGAAATCCAAAAGCAATTCCAGTGATGAAAGGTGAAGCAAGATCACATGTAGCCTCATTATGAAAATATTTAAATGCATTGGGGGTTCCATTGGCTCTCTTTATTTTTCTTACTTTCTCCGCCAAACGAAAGGAAAGCCAGATATAGTAATTTTACAAGTTTTTGTTGCCATAATTTCAGCTTTCCCGTTGTCTTCTTGAGTTCAACTTTGGTGGTGGTTAGGTCCTACCATTTCCACTGTGAAAGGCTAGGACCCTACAATCTAAGCATCACATCCATCCATTCTAGGCCAAAACCTACAAAAAACAAAAGAAAGTTTTGGTACTATATGCATCCTTATATAAGAATCACAAATTAGGGATGATCATTTTCAGTTTAGTTTGGTTTTTATAAAAAAAAATAACCAAGATCATTTTCAGTTTAGTTTAGTTTTTATAAAAAAAAATAACCAAATCAAAAAACTTTTTTTTGAAAAAAAACCCAAAACCGAACCGAAACCGGGTCAAACCGACCGGTTTCGGTTCGGTTCGGTTCGGTTTTTTAGGGGAAAAACTGGTTCAAATCAGTTTGGCTTGGTTTTTCCGGTTTGGCTCGGTTTTCTTGGTTTTTCTCGGTTTGGCTCGGTTTTTCCGGTTTGGCTCGGT